GAAGAGTCAATCTTAGATAAACAGAGTAGAAAGGCGATTACCAGAGGCTGGGAGAAAAGAGAAGAGAAGAAGAAATAGAAGATGAGAAAGGTATTATACGGTATTTCAGTTAGACTGGAAGAATAAGCTTTAGTGATCTGTTGTACTACACGATAATCAGTTAACTGGGAGTTGAACTGCAGTCAACTACAGTTAATAATGTACTGTGTATTTCACACTAAAATGTTAGAAGAACATCACCAATCTCACCACATGCACACATACACACACATGCACACAAGCTAGTGCAGTGATGAATATTTTAATCAGCTTGATTGAATCTTTCTACAATGTATATACACAGATTAAAAAATCACATTATACATCATAAATGTATATAACTATTATTCACCGATGAAATAATTTTTAATAGGCAAAAGACTTGAACAGACATTTCTCAAAAGAAGGTATGTGAATACTCAGACCATTAACCATCAAGGAAATACACATTAAAACCATAATGAGATATGACTTCACACCTGTTAGACAAATTAAAACCATAATGAGCTGTGACTTCACACCTGTTAGAAAAGCTATTACCAAAAGATGAAAAATAAATATTGATGAGGAAGTAGAGAAAAGAAGTCTTGGTGAGATAATAAATTGCTATATCCAATATGGAAAACAGAAGGGAGGCTCCCCCAAAAAACTAAAAATATGGCCCAACCATGGTGGTGAAGACAGTACGGTGCCATTGGGTGATACTGGAACCATATAGGAAGGTCCGGGGTTCAGGTTCTGGGTTGACCTGAACATGCCATGTGCACTTGCCAGTTGTGCCCATGATCCTGGCTGACTGTAGGAAGGGAATCACAATAAAAAGCTCCCTAACCTCTCTTTTTATTTTCTTCTCCCTCAATAAATAATTTTTTATTTTTAACAAATCCTGAAAGTAGAACCACCATATAATCCAGCAATGCCACTCCTGGGTATATATCCAAAGGAAAGGGAATCAGTTTGCTTAAAAGATACACCCCCATGTTTACCATAGCATTATTCACAACAGCCAAGATACAGAAATCAACCTAAGTGTTCTTCAGTGGATGAGTGGATAAAAAAATGTAGTATATTTACACAATGGAATATTATTCTGTTTTTAAAAAGAAGGAAATTTTACTATTTGTGACAGCTTGGTGAACCTGGAGGACATTATGTTAAGTGAAATAAGCCACACACACACACACACACACACACACACACACACAAATGCCACATGATCCTCCTTTATATGTGGAACCTAAACAAGTCTAACGTATAGTAGAGAGTAGAAGAGTGATTACCAAAGGCTGAGATGGGGGCAGGCAATAGAAGGATATTATTCAAGAGTACAAGGTTTCAGTTAGATAGAGGAAATAAGTTTTTGAGATCTATTCAACAATACGCTGTTTGAGTAAATAATAATATGTTGATTACTTCAAAATTGCTAAGAGAGTAAATTTCATGTCTCAATTCAAAAAATAATTGAAATGATGAACATTTTAATAAATTGATGTAATTACCCCATGTGGTATACATATATCAAAACATAACATTATGCCCCATTAATAAATGCAAATGTGATTTGTCCATTAAAAATAACAATAGACAAAAAGCAAAGCAAGAAGATCTCAAACTAGCCTTGTAGCACTGTGCATGGAAATCTGGATCTCACATGACTGACCACGATGCAAATCCTGACTCCTGCAGCTTGAAAAACATGCCAGGTACATGCCCAAAATAATTATGGGATGGAGAAATGGAGTAAAAGGACTGCAGTATGACCGTATCCTATTAGGAGGTGCTTTCCCACTCTCTCGGTCTGGTGAACACACACACCTACTGGCAATGAAAAAAAAAGAGGAGGTGGATGAGGAAGAAGAAAAAGAAAAGAAGAAGAATCTCAAATCTACCACATAACATTATGGCAAACTTCTATAAGTAGAATGACTAAGAAAGAAAGGATTCAAATTACTAAAATCAATAATGAAAATGGGGACAATACTATCAATTTTACAAAATAAAAAAAGTGTAAGAGTACTATAAGTAAATGTACACCAATAAGCTAAATAACTTAGATAAAATGGACAAATTCCTAAAAATATGAAATCTCACAAAGAAATTCATAATCTATATAGACTATAACTACTAAGGAGATCACTAATCCAAAATCTCCCAACAAAAAGCCCTGAACCAGAGACCAGCAGTTGGCATAATGGCTATGTTGCTGGACTCCCATGTAGTTGACTGCGGTTCGACTCCCAGACTCAGTGGCTTAAACTCATGCTGGGCACATGTGCGTGCGTGCCCAAGATCCCAAGAGGAGAATGGAGGAGAAGGGATTGTGGCATGGCCATGCCCCCTGGGGGTGATTTCCCGGTTTCTATCTCTCGTCTCTGTCTTTCTGGCGAGCGCGCACGCCCTGTAGCAAAAACCTCTCAAAAATAAAAATAAAAAAAGAAAAAGCCTTGGACAAAATGGCTTCAACATTTAAAGAAAAGTAGACACTCTTTCTTCTTAAACTCTAAAACACTGAAGAAGAGGGAACACTTCCTAACTCTTTTGCGTTAGAATGCGTTAGAAAGCATTACCCTCCCTGACACTAAAGTGAGACAAATATACTGCAAGACAAACAAAACAGAACAAAAACCACAGACCAGTATCTCTTATAATGAATACTGATGTAAAAATCTTCAGCAATGGGACCAGCAGTTGTGTAATGGCTATGTCGCTGGACTCCCACCTAGTTGATTGTGGGTTTGCGTCTGGGACCTGGTGACTTAAACTCATGCGGGGCGCGTGTGCATGCGCGCCCAATATCCCAAGAGGAGAATGGAGGAGCAGGGATTGCGGTGTGGCCATCCCCCCTGGGGGTGATTTCTCGCTTTCTCTCTGTCTTTCTCTATCTGGTGAGTGCACCCGCCCTGTAGCAAAAAAGAAAAAAAAAAAAAAAAAAAAGCACCTCTCAAAAAAAAAAAAATCTTCAGCAAAATACTAGCAAACTAAATTCAGCAGCATAGTGAAAAGATTGTACATGTTGACCAATGGAGTTTATTCCTGGAATATAAGAATAATATAATTCAATGTATGTTAAATAGCTTGGTCTTAAAAAAAATGAATGAATAAAAAAAGTTTATCTAATGGAAACATTGGTTACCCAGTTGCTCCACAGATGCATGATACAATTTCAAGAATGGAACATTTACAAAAAAATACAACCCTATCATTTTGCTTCTCTCTTGTGGAGGTGACACATCCTGAGGGATGTCTTTTAAAAGTTTGTGGAAAATGGGCATTACAAAAAAACTGTAATTTAAAAAATATTCTGGCACCAAAGTAAATTTGTACAGTTCCATTTTCCACAAACTTTTTATTTATCTATTTATTTATTTACTTGCTGGAGGGCACATATACTCACCAGAGAGAGAGAAAGTGAGAAAATGCTTCCCTTCCCCTCACCCCTAGGGGATGCTCACACTGAATCCCTTCTATATTTTTCCTTTCTGTCAGGATTTTGGCCTTGCCACACTTGCACCTGGTGTGTATATCAAGCCACAGGGCCGGTGTACTCAAACCATGCAGGATGTGGCCATCTCAAACCATGTGGGATCCAGCCTCCTTAACCACCACACTACCAGCTGGCCCTCCACGAGCATTTTCAAGTACTCTCATAAATGGTCTAGATACAAGATTAATCATATGGATTAAAGATATCTCCTATAATATTCTGTTCTGTATAAATTTCTTTTCCTCGTGTGGGTTAAGTGTAGATTGTGTATTTGGAATATACTAACTTTCTTCAGTAAATTCTGTACATTTAATTTTATTGGTTCTTACACGACTTTCGTAGAACCACTGCCCATAACACAAGTGATCAAGAATTGCTAATAACATCAACATTATTAATTTTGCTACTTATCAATTTTCATAAACTTATTAAACAGGTATGAGAGTTTTATTAGGATTTAGGAAACCTGGATTCTAGTCTGACTCTAGATTACTTAACTAGATAATCTTACGTAGTTCACTTAACTTTTCTGAGCACAGGTGCAGTCAGCAGAGGGTCTTAAACTATATCATGTCTAACTTCATTTTAGGTCTAAGATTCTATGTATCTATAAATCTCAGCTAATTCTGGCTAATTATAGAAAACCACCACTAAAATTGATAAATTTGGATTTTTATTACAAGAAGTCAGTAATCCCAACCTATATTTTTACAACTCGCATCATAGATTAATTGTAACATTTTAATTCATCTTTATTGATTAATTAATGGATTTGGACTATAATTAGTCTCTTCATTGCTTCATAGAATAAGAATGTAGGGTGCTACATTAGAATTTACTATAATATTGACATTATTATTATATATAGATTTCTTCCTTCTTACAACATATTTACTTTATTTCTAGTTTAACAATCATGTTAAAGTTTTACTAGTTTGGGCTATGGCTGTATTGTTCTAGAAGTGGCTTTAATTTCACACTGAGTAACTGATAATGAAAGAGTTAGAATTATTATGGAAGAGTAGAAGGTAAGTGAGTCATTTACTGCCTTCTGCATAGCAGCTACTGTGTAAGAATTTCCATTAATTCATCAGCTGTTTGCATGCTTTCTGTGTGCAGGCACGGTGCCAACAGTTCCAAATAAACAAAACACAATCTCTCTCTTTATGTAATTTTACTATACTCCTTTAAGGTATGTATATATTACTTACCTGGCCTACCTGCATTTGGCAGATAACAATACTGGTACTTAACATGTCTGGATAACACACCTAATGACAGAGACAGTATGTGGATTCAGTTCTGTATGTTGCAAAAACTCATTCAATTATACCAACTGACCTGTCCTTTAAGAATATTTAAAAGTAAAAAAAATAAATAAATAAAATAAAGAATATTTAAAAGTATATTCTACAAACAAATCTCAATTTTAAATTGTAATATTGACTTTAATTTCATATATGTTTTACTTTTTAAGCCTGATAGAGAAAATCAAGATCGTTTATTTGACAGAATTTCAGAAAGCTATGTGGCACTTTTCATGAGCATACCTCTAAGTCGAAAGGATGCATTCTTTCAGGTATAGAAATTAAGTTATTCTCTTTGTAGTGAATGAAATAGAAAAAAATTAGTTATACTATTTAAACACATGTGAGAAAATATTTTGTTACTTCTGAAAGTAAAATTGTCTGATGAGAAAAAGTAGTGCTAATATTTTAAAAGTTATGCTTCTGCCACCTCCTATCCTTCAATATTGTATTGCCCCACTTCAAAGGCTTACAGAATCTCCCTAGTATAACTGGCATTTTTTTTGCATAATAATTGAGAACTATTGATTTGTCCTATATATGTTCTTGGAATTTTTTTATTTACCTGCAAAATTATTTATCATTTTTCTTTTACTTTATAATAGATCTTTTGATACATTTAAGAGGACCTGACAAGTTTATGTAATGCCATCGAGGATTATATGAAAGTACAATGCATAAAATTGTGAATCAGATGCTTGTTTTGCTTTTCCATTGTTATGCTAGCTAATGAATATATTTGTTTAAAATATTATTCTTGAGTAATGTGAAATGAAGAATGTATGAACTTCACTAGGTGATTTAAAGTTTAACGTCTAAATTTTCAAAACACATCATATTTAAATACTTTGTTGCACTGACAGTCTACTAATCAGAAATACGTATTGTATTTTGGAGTTTGTAAATGTTTTCCTGGGTAAAACAGACCTAATATAAAAAGTTAAGTGTCCTTCACAAAATATAAACAAGCATATTATTTGCCAAATATTTATATTCAAACATGATCTATTCTACTTACAAATATATATAAAATGTGATAGAGGGAAACCAGTAGTGCACTAGGAATAAGAAGACTTGACTTCATGTCTGGATTCTGCTATTGTACTAATTATCTGGATGGTCTTGGCCAGCCACTCAGCTCCTCAGGTCCACAGTTAGTTGTCTATGAAATGAAGAGGTAGATTAAATTCTTAAATTGTTGTCTGTGGAAAACTGGTGTTCTGAAAGATAGACTAAGATTTTATCTGCTAATATTGAAATCATATTTTCTTATTTGCAGGAAAAAGTTAATGGTTAGGGATTTTGCAATTAAATTTTCTAGAGATGGCAAAAACAGCTATTTTTCCTACCCGTATTCTTTCAGCTAGTTCATGTTTTCAATTTTTTATAGTAATATATATTTACTAAGTGCGCCTCGCCTACCCACATGATAGAATGAAACATAATTTAATGCATGGCCCTTAAAACAAGGATAAGAGCCTGTTCAACATGGGCCAGAAAGTGGTGTAATGGTAACACAACATTCTGCAATGCTGAGGCCACATGGGAAGGTCCCAGGTTTGCGCTCCAGGGTCTCTCTCTGTATGCAAGGCGTATGTGTGCTTGTCCATACGCCTGTGAACCTGGCTGTCTACGGCTGGGAGTAAATGACAATGTGAGGACTCTGTTGAGCTACCTGTCTGTCTCTGTCTCTGTCTCCCTGCTCCTCTCTCTCATGGATGAAATAAATAAACTTAAAAAAAAAAAAAGAGAGATCTGTTTAATGAAGACAAAGAAGGAAATGGGATTATTGCATTTTCCCCATTCTCTGGTGTACAGTCGTGTTATGGTCCAAATACTTTCTTGGGTGAATGTGTCTTTCGATAGGTATTAATTTAAATCTTAAAAGAATACCATCACTTACTAGCAGATTTGAGCATGACTGGACACATTTGTTTCCTATTGCTGCTTATCACCAGCATAGTGTCTTAAAACAACAGAAATGCATTATCTTTGTTTGGGATTCCAGAACTGCAAAATGAGTCTTATAGGGCTAAAACTCAAGCTGTCTACAGTGTTGATTTCTTTAGGAAGCCCCAAGAGAGAATCCATTTCTTGCCTCTTCTAGTTACTGGTGGCTGCCAGTATTCCTTGCCTTGTGGTTGCATCACTATAATTACCGTTTCTGCTCTCACATTGCCTTCTTGTTTTCTATAGTCAAAGTTCTTCAACCTTCCTCAATAAAGACACTTGTGATTACATTTAGAGCCTGTGAGATAATCCCCAAATAATCTCCTCAGATCAAAATCTGCAAAGCCTTTTTGCCATGTAAGGTAACATTTGCAGTTCCAGTGACCTGTAAGGGCTCTTCCAATTAAAAAAAAATTACATAATAAAAGGCCTAATGTGTGGTTGTAAATACTTATATGCATGCTGAATACCAAAACAATAATATGAACTTGTCTCTAATATAAAAATATGGTACATTTTTATGTTTAGTCATTCCCTGAAAGAAATTTAATAGGTTAAGGATGTGAATGCTAAAACCCTATTAGTGCTGCATAATTGTTGATGGCTGGTCATGGCTTTACTATTTAAACAATACTTGGAACCAGCAGATGCATAATGGTTACGTTGCTGGACTCCCATATTGTAGATTACTGTTTGCTGTTTGAGTCCTGGACCTAGCGACTTAAAACTCATGCCAGGCATGTGTGCATGCGTGCTCAAAACCCTGAGAAGAGAATGGAAGAGAAGGGATTGTGGCATGGCCATCCCTCTATATATGCATATATATATATACATATATACATATATATTTAAACAATAGTTATTACATATAAATTCACCTAAATAAGCTACAATTATTTAAAAACATTCTTTTGATTATAATGCATCACTTTCTAAAAGAGGATAGTATTAATAAGCTTAAATGATACTTACCTGGCAGGGGAGATACCATGATCACGAAGGTGGTTTTCCCAGGGCGAGGCTTATCCATTGCATTCCAGATGTGCTGACCCCTGCGATTTCCCCAAATGTGGGAAACTCGACTGCATAATTTGTGGTAGTGGGAGACTGCGTTCGCACTTTCCCCTGATTTAAAAAAATAAAAAATAAAAATAAGCTTAAATGAAGTTAATGGATGAAGGTTAAATAGATCATCAAATTTTATCTTAATTATTAAATTTATTCTTTATCCAAATTAAATTATTTTGCCAAAGTACCAACAGTTAAAATTCCTTGATTTCAATTCTCCTTTGATCTTTTCCATTAATTAAAGGTACAAAGATATAATAAAATGAGCAAAAAACAAGCCATAAGAAAAAGGTAAAATATATTTTACAAACTAAATATTAATTTATTTGGTAGTTTAGATATATTATATAAAATATAAAATTAATCTGACTCTATTTTGGAAGGTGTATCCTGATTGTTTGGCACAAGCTATCTATGCAACATTCCAGGAAGCATTTCCAGAATCTAGTATCCTCTTTAACGATGAATTTAAAGAAGATCTAGGAAACAACATTTTCCTTTGGTTGTCAGGTATACATATATAATTTAAATTTTTTGATTGCACTATTTTGTAGGCTTCAGTCCAAGAAATGACAGCTCTTATGTTTTACAAAACATGCCATGTAGATGCCTATGTATAAAGCATATATTATTAATAATTATTATTTCCTTTCTTCTGAAATTTTTGTTATTTTTAAATTAGTGAATTGTTAGCTTTGGAAGCTAAATAATTTTATAATTAGTGGAAGTATTGTATAAAATTGAGTTACTGCATAAAAAAAGTCATACCATATACATACTATATTTGGAAGACTAACATTTTAAGCTGCTTTTGAGATATTACATTTTTGAGCAAATATTAGGTAGTATAAGTTCTAGAACTAATTAAGTTCCTCACAGAATAGTCAGTTGCTAATTAAGTAAAAGCTTTTTAAAATTATTTTGTGTGTGTTAGTAGGTGGAAGTGCTAGGATGAAAAGAATAAAAAGAAGTAAAGCTCCATCCTAGAATATTTAGCTATGGGTTTAGGTAGTTGGATTTAAAAATAAGAAAAATCCAACTAATTCAAATACAAGAAAAAAAAAAAAGGATGACCACGGCGTTCATACAAAGATACTATAATAAAAAATGTGGGAAGAGCAAAAAGATTTTCTATGAATCTGTTATGGACTGAATTGTGTTTCCTCCAAATTTCATATTTTGAGTGAAGTCCTAACCCCTAGTACACCTAAGACTATGACTGTATTTGGAGATAAAGAAGTAATTAAAGTTAAATGAGGTTATATGGCTAGATCTTAAATGAATATGACTGGTGTCCTTATAAGATGAGGGATATGAGCACATAGGTAATGTGGTGGTTGAAGTACTGGACTCCCACATATCTAACCTTGGTTCAAGTCCTGGACCTGGTGCCTTTCTCTCTCTCTCTATTTCTTTTTTCTTTCTGGTGAGCACACATGCTCTGTACAAATTAAAAAATAATAATATAATTAAAAACACTAATTCTTTAAAAATAAAAAAGAAGAGGGATTAAAAAAAAAAGTGACGAGACAAAGATGGTGGAGTAGAGACAGTAACCCTTTTCTGGGTGTGGCCATCCCCCCTGGAGAGTGATTTCTCGCTTTCTGTCTCTCTGTCTCTCTCTGTCTTTCTAGCAAGTGCACACGCTCTATAGTAAAAACCTCTCAAAAAAAAAATAGAAAAACTGCACAGTAATGATCACTGAGGAAATGGCATACATGAGATATCTGGAGACTGCTAGAAACAAAGAAAGATGGGCACTATCAGAATTGACCACTGTGGTCTCTAGCAATGTACCCTGCAGAGAACCACAGCAGCCTTTGCTATTGAGGACAACAACCACTGCATCAGTTGGATATACCTGCAACCTTCACGGAGGATGTCCCTTTAGTTTTCATTAACACAAATAGTGGAAGCCTGCTTCACAAAGGACTCATGGTTTTTGCCACTGAGGTAGCCAACAACAATTCGTGTTGAAGATGCCCTGAGAAAGGAGATACTGCTATGTTTCCATCCTAATAAGAAAACACTATCGTGCTGTCCCAGGACCAGGGCTTTCATCCCTTCCAAACCCATGCATGCCACATACTATGGAATCACTCCAAACCCTAGATCTGTTGCAGCAGTGTGAATGTCCACACCTATACACTAAAGCCACCACTACAGTGAGCCAACCCACAACCTGGATCCTAGAGCAATTGTTACCCTGCACATGTTTGCACTATAGACTCCAACTCCATAGGTGTTCCATAACTGCTGGCACTGCAGACACAGGACCCACTGCTGTAGCAAGCACAATAGACTACAGACTTTAAAGCAACAGTAAACATTCACATGCTATGCTCTGTATTCTAGATCCTAGGGCAAATGTTCACACAAGTACACCAGAGCCACAGACACCTGGGAGCACCCCACCTCAGACCCTGGAACTATTATAGCCATGCATTCCATCACACTTTGGATCTCATTTCCTTGGTGCTCTAAAAGCACCCAGGTCACAGACTCTTACTACTGCTGCAGTAGAGCACCTACACCTTGGGCAAGAGTGCTATTGCTATCTCAGACTGCAGAGCTGAAGTCCCTGTACACATACCCATGCTCCAGACCTTGGCGACATTCCTTCTCCATGGGCACTGCACATCAGGCACTGATGTTCTTGCCACCACAGTCATGCTTGCAAGCTGGACCTGGCACCAAGAGGGATTAGGTATGACTTTCACTATAGGGAAGAAGAGATGAGGAAGATTCCAGCATTCATTGCTACTGAAAACCCTAATAGCCCTCACAACCTTCAACTACCAATAGCCTTGACCAGTGAGGATCCCTGCAGTCTTTGCTGATGCTGACCTTAGCTGATAGAGCTGCACAGAAACTAAGCTGATATACCTTTTCCAGAACCAAAACTACCATACCTTACCTAGCTGAGGCCTAGCTGTGGTTGAAGTTGTTTCCCCACCAAAACCAGTCCTGTAAAGTCTGGAAGAGACTCCATTGAAATAGAAGACATAAACACAAAACAACAAAAAACCACACACAATAAAACAAAGAAACATGACACCATCAGTGGAACACAATTTTTCAGTAACCAACCCAAAAGAAATGAAGATCTATAAATTATATGAAAAAGAGTTCAAAATAATTTTTAAAACGCTAAGTGATTTAAAAGAGAACACAACTCAATACTTTAACAAAACAAGAAGTCTAATACAGTGATAGAAATCACTACAAAAGAAAAAAAACAGACCTCTGGATCTAAAGAATACAGTGAGTGAAGTGAAAAATGCAATAGCATCAGCAGGAGATTTGAACAAGTAGAAGGAAGAATCTGTAAACTTGACAGTTCATTTGAAAATATTTAGTCAAAGGAGAAAAAAGAAAAAAGAATAAAAGAAAGTCTACAGGACTTACAAGAAACCATCAAGACAGCTAAATTTTGCATTATCACCATTTCAGAAGAAAAAAGGAGAGATTTTATTAAAAGAAATAATAGCAACACCTGTTCTAGCAAAGGGCCTTGCTGGATGGCAGGATGCCTGCAGCTGGAGGGCTCAACTGTTTGTACCTGTGGCTTATCCCTCCTCCACTCGTCTTTGGACTCCCAGATTTGTTGCTTGGATTTTGAGACAAATTTGAACCCCTCCAAACCCAATCCGGACACCTGTTCCAGCAAAGGGCCTTACCAGATGGCAGGCCACCTGTGATTGGAGGACTTAGTGGCTGGGACCTGTGGCTCATCCTCTCCCTAGCTTGCCCTTGAACCCTCAGGACTTTGGTGTTTTGTGTAGCATGGACGCAACACGCACTGCGTGATCTCTTCTTTGTTACTGAGTTGAAGGTCAGTGGCTCAGTTTCACATGCACCTGTTCTCTAGAAACAGGGAGTATTTTGTGTCACCCAGGACCAATGACGACAGTGCAAGGTGCTGTTTAGCAATGGGGAGGCAGAGCAGAAGAGAGATTGCAAATTGCCTACTCCTGCACACCTTTGAATGCTTGGAGATACCTTGACTAATTTAGGAAGAAATGTATAGCTCATCAGATATCTAGAAACCAAGCACAGAGGCACAAGAATTATGAGCAATCATCAAAATGTTTCTCCCCCAAGGGAAAACATCAACTTCTCATCCCCTATAGACAATACAGTGGAACTTGTGGAAATGTCAGATAAACAATTCACAATATTTATAGTGACCAAACTAAATGAGATGCAAGAGAAAAGAGACTACAAACTCCAGGATATGAGGTAGTCCTTTCACAATTTGAAAGAAAATATAGCCACCATAGAAAAGAATCAATCATTCTCAGAGATGAAGAATATGATACAGGAAATTAAAACCTCCCTCAAAAGTATTAAAAGTAGATTAGATCACTCAGAAGAAATTATTTTAAAAAATGAGAAAACCAAGAAAAAAAATGAGGATAATATGTGAGAAATACTAGATACCACCAAGCACCCAAACAACAGGATAATTGGTATCCTAGAAGAGGAAGAAAATAATATAGGCATTGATAATTTATTCTGTGAAATCCTGGAAGAAAACTTTCTGAACCTAGAGAGGTGTTCAAATATCCAGACCCAAGAAATACATAGGAACCCAAATAAAATCAACCCAAGAAGATCCTCTCCAAGGCATATCATAGCCTGTTTGGCCAAAATCACAGACAAGGACAAGATACTAAGATCGGCAAAAGAGAAACATCAGGTTACCTACAAAGTTTATCCCATTGGACTGATATAGGACCTCTCATCAGAAACAATGCAGGCAAGGAAAGAATGGGGAAATATAGTCAAAGTGTTAAATGAAAAACAGTTTCAACCAAGAATACTATACCAGGCAAGATTATCCTTCATATGGGAAAAAAAAGATAAAAGCGTTCTCAGATAAACAAAACCTGAAAGAATTTACCAACTATAGACCAGCTCTTTAAGAGGTTCTGAAGTGAGTACTATACCAGCAAAACTAAAAAGCCAGACAGACAGATATAAGAGGGGAAAAAAAAAAAAACTTAATTATAGGAACATGTTGGGAAATATTGATAATAACATTGAACGTTAATGGATTAAATTCTCCAATCAAGAGACACAGACTGGCTGGCTGGATTAAAAAACATAAACCCTCTGTCTGTGGCCTACAAGAAACACACTTTAGGGAACCAGCAGTTAGCGTAATGGCTATGTCGCTGGACTCCCACGTAGTCAACCGCGGTTCGCATCCCGGACCCGGTGGCTTAAAACTCATGTGCGTGTGTGCCCAAGATCCCGAGAGGAGAATGGAGGAGAAGGGATTGCGGCGTGGCCATCCCCCCTGGGGGGTGATTTCTCGCTTTCTGTCTCTCTGTCTCTGTCTGTCTGGTGAGCGCACGCGCCCTATAGCGAAAAACCTCTCAAAAAAAAAAAAAAAAAAGAAAGAAAGAAACACATTTTATGGATAAAGACATACTTAGACTAAAAGCAAAGGGCTGGAAAAAGATATTCCATGCAAAAAGAAATGAAAAAAAAAAAAAAACAGC